ATCTATTCAATGACTGCAGTAGGATATGTAGCCCCAGCTAGGTGCTACTTTATAGGATGCGTAAAGTTAGACTTGTGTTCATGGAAATGTGTGTGTCACCTGTGTTTGCTATGAGGGTATTTGGATTGATTAGGGTCTTTGGTGATTCAATAAAATGTGGGGGGAAAACGGTATAGAAAGCAAACACAGATACCAGAGACAGTATGGGAGGAGAGTGGGAGGTGGCAGAGAGTAAGAGATAGGGAACCAAGGACAGGGGAGGGGGGGACAAAACATACAGAAAACAAGAAATGGAAGATCATTTGCTGACAATAACATGTTTGTTGATGTGCTTGATTGAGACAATATACAGTGTACTCTGGATGGAAAATCTCATTTTGTATGTTGCAATGATGTACAGTGAATGAATGCAAATAAATTGAAATTTTAAAAAAAACTAAAATCTTTTTTTAAAAAAGTTAAAAAATATATATACATACCATGCACAGTGTAAGTTAATCTCCACTTAAATTTGGATTTAGGGTGGAAGTTTTGACATTTTAGTAGGCTCATTTCAAAAAACTTCTGCACAAGTTTAATATTGGAATCAATAATTATCTAAATTTTTTCAATTCTCCAGATCGAAAAACAAGGTTTCAGGATGGAAAATACATTTTACTTAGAAAACTAGATTTGGACATTCTCTGTTTCATCTAAAAATAAAAGTTAACTCTTCTACAATAATAAGTCAACATTGTAACGATATAAGCAAAGTCATATAAAATGGCATAGAGTTGCCAATAATTATTAAAAATTTTCAGCCATTATTCCTGAGCTGTGATTTTACATAATTATACATCTGGTTTTGTCTAGACATGTTATTCAGCTGGATTTGTAAAGTATGCCACCCTATCCCACAAATGCTGGCAGACCAATGTATAATAAACATTATCCACAGCAGTATTCTAGGACATGAAATTGATAGGCTGTATTTTTAATATACATGTTGACTACTTATAACAATATTTTCATACACATTGCAAGGTTTTCAAATGCAAATCTAAATAGAAAATGAATGATAGATCAGTTAACGAGTATTTGGGTCTTCCTCATCTAATTTACCAATCTTTTTGCTTTTCAAAAAAAATTTTAAGGCTTTTGCCATAGGGCATGTGCACTCACGGAGAGAGAAAGAGAGAGACAATGAAAAGGAGCGAAAGAAATCACCCCCCAGCATAGATGGCCATAAGGTAATCCCTTCTTCATCTTCCTTTTGGGATTTTGGGTATGCATGCACATGTGCCCAGCATGATTTTCAAACTGGGACTGGGACTGTGACCCAAACTGTGGTTGACCACAGCACCTTAATCACCATACTGCCCTCTCTTCGCTTTTTGGCCCTGTGTAAAGGATCAGTTTGTTGCTATCTATACCCAATGCCCTTGGCAGTTACACCACACAACAATCTGAGATGCTGTTTTATACAAATTAGTACAAGAAATATCTAAATTTTAGGATTCTGCCTCAGAAGACTATTAGAACCTGTTTGGACTGAACTGCCAATTAGAAAATATTATAATGTGAAACAAAACAATTTACTTTTCTCCTTTAGCTGAAAAAATATTTTTTAAGTACTATTAACATACTAGTTAATGAAAAAGTTTTAACTAGATAATGTATCAAACCAACATATTGTAACAGAGAAAAAGTATTAGTGACAGTCAAAAAATATACTCAAGTGTATTATTTTAAGCTAAAAGAAAAATGAATCATACCACCATAATATACAAAGGAAAAGGTATCACAAATACTTGGAAAAAAACAGGAAAGAAAAATCTGACACAGTGGCTCAAGCACTGAAGGCAAACAGATGTGAGTTCAAATCCCAACTTAGCAACGTACAAGCTATGTGACCTTGTAGCAACCATTTAGCCTCATCACTAACATTGAAAATTCATCAACATCTCACAGTATGATTATGAAAATCAAATAAAAATAATAGATGCAGAAGACTTTAGCAAATACCCAAGTACAAATTAAATATTCAATAGTGGAAACTACTATTATTATTGTTAACTTACATTTTTATCGATAAGGATTGGAATTACCAAAAAGCTATAACCAAAGGGAACAAAATTAAATAACAAAGACTATACTAAGGAAAGATTTCTACTTCAGGAACTGTCTCTTGTCATAAAGGCATTGTGTAAACCAACAGAATTTTACATTTTAAACAAGGAATAATGCGGTCTTCAAAAAGCCCATGGAAAGTGCATATTATGAAAAAACTATGGATGGACTTCAAAATTTTTCGCACTAAAATAAACTCATACTTCGATCCATTGTTCCAGGAACTTTTTGAAGTACCTTCACAAAGACAGTAGAAATAAGTAATTTTTCTTCCTCTCTCCTAGTCCAAATAACTGAAGAAAAGAAGTGAGAAAAAATAAAAACTAATTTGAAATCAACTATTATTGGTAATCATTCACTTATCAAACAATGGCACAGGTCAATCAGAGCTAAAGATAAAACTAAGCGATTTCCAAGTAAAGTTACAATACTACACACTCACTTCGTCTTACCTATAAACCAGCTTGTGGTGGTGACATTGCAACGATTTTCTGGGACAGGCTGCAACTATCCGAACAGGTACCTGTTCACGATTAAAACATGAACTTAGTAAAAAGGCATGACATTCCATCATAGTCAATCCTTCATTTGCACCTTCACTTCTGAGTATACCCACATAGTAAGGTCCTACTCTGTGCCAGGCCCTACCAGATATTGATATGACTGTTAACAAAGGTGAGCATTCACAAACGTGTGAAGGTATGACACAGGAAGTCCTGGCTCACACAGGACAGAATTCTGAACCCCCACAGGCGAAGAGCAGACAAAGGGAGCAACTGGGATGACACCAGGTAGCCCATGGCCAGTGCTAAAGGGGCCCATCCTGAAATTTACAGTTTTAGGACACATGCCATTTTATTGATGATGGGTACGTTTCTCTTTTAATTGTATTTATAGTATTCATTTGTTTGATCAATATATTTATTCAGCTACTAAAATACAGCTCTATATGCTATTGCCCTTCAAAAGACATCAATTTCCAGGTGTCTTTATTCTATCTCCTTCTAGAACACTTCCAAGACCAGCTTCTCCAGAAAGTACTGTTTTTTGAGGTTGGGGGAGGTTTGTTGTTATAAGATGCATGCACTCGCTAGAAAGACAGAGACAGAAAGCAAGAAATCACCCTCCACGGGCGATGGCCACACCCCACTGCCTTCTCCATTCTCCTTTCGGGATCTTGAACACATGTACCTTTAAGCCATCGGGTCTGGGATTCAAACCGTGGTCAACTACATGGGAGTCCAGTGACACAGTCACTATGCCAACTGCTGGTGCCCCAGAAAGTACTTTTTTTTTTTTTTTGGAGAGGTTTTTGCCATAGGGCACGTATGCTCACCAGACAGAGACAGACAGAGAGACAGAAAGCGAGAAATCACCCCCCAGGGGGGATGGCCACGCCGCAATCACTTCTCCATTCTCCTCTCGGGATCTTGGGCATGCATGCACACGCGCCCAGCCTGAGTTTTAAGCCACTGGGTCCAGGACACAAACTGCGGTCAACTATATGGGAGTCCAGCGACATAGCCATTACGCTAACTGCTGGTCCCCAGAAAGTACTTTTTTATAGGCTTCTGTTGAAAGTAATCTCATGAATTTCTGTGACACTTGGCCTGTACCTACCTCATGCCATTCTCCCATTCTATCCTGTATTAAGGCTATCTTCTGGTACATTTTAGATGTCCTTAACACTTAAGTGCCTTCAGGACAGGACCTGTGCTTGAACCACCTAGGTGAGGGCTTTGCAGAAGCTACAGGGTTCAAGACAGACATTAAGGCATACCTATTTTTTTCTTTAAGACTGAAGTTAGGCCATAAGTTTCTCTAACTTTACCAGTTGCTGTTAGTATTAAATCTACTAGTATGTCTTTAATCAGGATGCTTGCTTGAAAATGTCTATTTTATATAAGAAAGCATGCCTCTAAAACAACTCTCTCCATATAATTCTGTTTGTTCTTCATGTGAGAGTCAACAACTACCACTCCATTTTTGTACATTACTGGTGTCAAAGACATCTTAAAGTGTGACAGAGAGCTGTTTAATTTAAGATTCAAAATACTATAATTTGTCAACAGTATAATCACAAAATCAGAGTTTTCCATAATGGTTGCACGAATTTACATTCCCACCCACAGTGTAGCAGGGCTCCCTTTTCTCCACATCCTCCAACACTTATTATCCTTGGTCTTTTTAGTAATAGCCATTCTAACAGGTGTGAGTCTTGAGGTTCATTGTAGTTTAACTTGCATTTCTCTGATAATTTCTCAAATATTTTAAGAATGAAAACTGTTATGGCTCACTGTTGAACTGGGTAGAACCATAAATTACTGCATATTATTTCCGGATTCCCTGGGTCAAAATATCTGCTTAACAATGCTGGGAACTGTGCAATGAAACCTAAAAAACCTTTCCGACAACAATGTTTAAGAAATCTTGGTATTCATTAGCTAACTGAACACTTAAACTATATGGAAAATTTGGCTACTCAAAACAACTCATTTCTCCGAAGGTTTGCTTTATTAGGAGACTCATCTTCTTGCGAAGATCTTAGAACATTTTACATAAATGGGTACAGAGACTTAAAGAACACACTCTCTTGCTACAATTCTTTTTATACAGAGAAATAAATTAAATCTATTGTAGCAGTATATTGGTGATCAAAAAACTCAATAAAGCCTCCACATAGAAATAGGACAAAATTTAAAACCAAACAAAAAGTTACATATATGCATTTAGTTCTAAATGTAGAGAAGAATTACGTAAGGATATTTAAGAAAATGTAGTTACAAGTGCACAGAAAAATTATATAAGAGTATATGGCAAAATGCTAAATATCTGAGTTTAGGATTTGGGATAATTTTTACTTAAAGTTTCTTTTATTGCTCAAGCTGCTTATGATAAACGTATATCATTTTTAGGATTAGGGAACCAGCAGTTAGCGTAATGGCTATGTCGCTGGACTCCCACATAGTCGACCGTGGTTCGCGTCCCGGACCCAGTGGCTTAAAACTCACGCCAGGCACGTGTGCGTGCGTGCCCAAGATCCCGAGAGGAGACTGGAGGAGAAGGGACTGCAGCATGACCATCCCCCCTGGGGGGTGATTTCTCACTTTCTGTCTCTCTATCTCTCTCTGTCTTTCTGGCAAGCGCACGCACCCTATACCGAAAACCTCTCAAAAAAAAAAAAAAAAAGATTAAAAAATAAACTAAAAATTCTGAGAGAAATACAGTCCTCAGTCAATAGTTAAGACAGTGGATATCTTCTTCCTGATACACAGAACAAGTTAAATTGGTAGGAGAACATTTTCTCAATTTTAATAATTTTCTTCAATGTTTGGCACCTGCCACAGTTAATCTGCTAGCAAATACCAACAAACCACACACAGCAAAAGACACAGGAAACTGGCAAACATATGGAAAGATCATGGTTCGCTGAGGCAGTTTCCCTACCCACCTCCAAGCCTGAACCAGCAGGTGTGATTTTACATCACATACATATAACCAGAGTCATTTTCTGCTAGTAAAATAATTCTTAGTTCCCAAGATAGAATTAAATATATCAATATTTCATGACTTCTGATTAAAATCACCAGGTGCTTTTTATTATGTGAACAAAAATAAGGATCCAGAGACCTCCCTATCATCATAATATGACCGACATCAATCACATCAAATGAGGGGGATTTCTTTTTTGGTACCTTTCTATTGTCCAAATTGGCCAAAATTAACTTCTATTATTTATCTAGTTGGCTAAAAGAAGTCTTTTAAAATCAACACAAAGGAATAGAAAACAATTTGACTTTATCTGACAATTCTATTATTGTACCAAATAGCACATGGGAGGCTGGGTTCTATCTTTGGCCCAACATAAAGGCAGGAGCAGTGGTGTGCACTTATAATCACAGTGACTCAGGAGGCCGAGGCAGAGGATAGCAAGCTCAAGGCTAGCCCAGGCAGCACAGGGAACCCCAAATCCCATCTACAACAGCTAAGCATGGTGGCACACACTTACAGCCCCAGTTGGCAGGCTGAGGCAGGAAGACGTGGCAGGGAGAGCCTATTATACCAACCAGAATTTTACATTTAAGCGAGAATTATGCTAAGCAATATTAATATCAAATGCATCTTCCACATGAGTGCATGTATACTTAAAAAATTAACCACCAGTAAACCAATCTGAGGGGACTGTCCAATCTCTCTTGCTCTTCACACCAATTCTACCAGGCAAAAACCAGACTTTGATTCAAAATAAAATTCCCAAGGATGAAACAGAGATCTGTGTAGGTAAACAGGATTAACTTCCAGCTCTGGCTGATAACTTCTTTCATCTCAAAAAAAGAAGGGATAGGAGAAAACTGCTTATCTTCCTTAATATATGAAATAGACACTCAGCAACAAATATCTTCTCAAAAGGAAAAAAAAAATTATCTTGATTCTAAGACTCTCACAAGAGCTCACACAACTGAAAATCCCCTACCTATCAGGGAACATGGAGAAGGTCACAATTTTGAAAAAACAAAGTTTCTTTTTCCTTTCTCTTCCACTTTCCAACAACAGAAGCCAAAAGTTCCTACTCTGATTTTCAGAGTACATTTTCTTTCTAACTTAAGATCAGGAAAACTGTGAGTGAAGCCATGAGATTGTATGCTGTCTTCCACAAATTGCAATTATTTCATATGAACATTTTTTCCAAAATAAAACAAATGCCCATTTAAAAATTCTTATCACAAATATCTGACACGTAAAGTAGGCATCTGCCAGCTTTCATTCAATCATCTGACTCCAGGTACTCACTGGGACCATAATGGAGGTAACCTTCCATGTTTGGGAAGTGGCTCTTACAGGTACAACAAGAAGCACCAGTAGCTCCCATCCTGGGCTTATTGTGCCAAGGACCAAATGATCAACTTCGTAATCTTCCAAAGTTATAAGTATCACACATGATTCCCTCATTTGATATTAGAAGTCCAAATTCACAGCTCATTGGGGAAGGAGGGGGTCTAAAGAGTCCACCTGTGTTTCTTGAGTGGAACATGGAGTGACAGCATATCCCAGCTGGGCCTGGATCAGAAGTGCCCAGTGTCAACACCACCCTCCAGA